CTCCAATAATCTTAGATTATGATATAATTTTGTATAATATCGAATTATTCAATATTATGATTAGTTAACACTCATTTACATACTAACAAAGTGTTGTATTTGATCATAAACTTGATTTTTTGAAACCTCAAATACTATTCCGTCGGAATTCTGTCAGAAATTTCCGACGGAAGTGCATATCCGTCAGAATTTTCTGACGTCCAACGGAGTTTATACTTCCATCGGAAATTTCTGACGGAATTCCAACGGATTATTTCCTAAACCAGACACAGCCTCTCTTCTCCCTGTGTCGTCAGTTTGTCATTTTTGAGATTATCCGACGAAATTTTTCCAACGGGCCCTTTCTCGTCGGGATTTCATCATAAATGTCCATTTACCCGAGTTGAATTTTCACGAATGTTTTTGGTTAACCCTCTAATTTTTGGACCGACGGAATTCCGACAAAACCGGTTCGTCGGATTGTTTTATTTAAAACCCCTGAGTCTCTTCTTCTTCACTATCTCTCGATTCTCCTTGTTCTCTCCGCCTCTATCACCGATTCCGAGTGCTCTCCGACGTCCTCACCTCCTCTCCCTCCGACGAAACCACCACCCCTCTCTCTTGAAACCATGTAAGCAATATCTAAACCCTAAACGTATATATTGATTTAGGTTGTGGATGATAATTTTGTAGTTTTAGGATTGAATTGAATAGATTTTTGGATAGAACTCATAGTTTTATGATTGAATTGATTAGATTTTCGGTTTTAGGTTGTAAATTAATGGATTATTTAGGTTTTGGATGATTATTTCTTTTTTTTTCTTAATTTTATATGTTCAAAATGTTTTTTATAAAACCTTTTTATAGGTTTTAAAATATATTTACAAACGTTTTATTCAATTTCTGTTATATAAAAACGTTTTTAATATTTTAAAACTTTTTAAGAATTGTAAAACTTTTTAAAAAGTTAAATAAAATTATATATGATATAATAAACATATATATATATATATATATTTATTTTAATATAATCATAATGTTTTTGTTATCTAAAGATGTATTCAACTGTATGATTTTTTTAATTTAATGATAAGTTATTTATATTTTTATATATAATATATATCGCTTAATGTTTAGATTTTTTTTTTTCGCAGGTTCGAGAATTATTCTAGACCATCATCACTTCGCCGCGGCCTACCTCATGCAATTCGTTCCGGGAGTACTTCCCGTGTATCGGAATCTTCGCAGGAGCAAAATTCTATTCCTCCTACAGCACCTCCAGTAGCGGCGTTTGATCCAAACTCTCATTATGAGCCGGGCACTATGCCGGTTGAGCTTTTGGTTCAACAACCAGGCCGAGAGAACCTCCAGGTTCTCCATCCCGAACCACGAGGATACACTACGTGGTATATATGTTTCTCCCTTTGTTATTAATATATTCAAATATTTTTTAATTTATATTTTAACTTAATATGTGTTTTTTAATGTTCAACAAGTCGAACAACGGCATTAGCAGATGCATTAACCAAATGATGTATTCTATGCTTCATAGAGGACACGAGACCTACAGTGTGATGCCGAGAGATGAACAAGAGATATGGTTCCGTAATTTTGTGGCAATTTTAAAAATTTTGTTAATTTTTATTTATTTACTAGATGCATAGTCCCCGCGCAAGCGCGGGGGTTGGATACGTTGTTGATGTGTTGTGTAGTTTTGTGTATGAGACTTTGCTGTTTTTTTTTAACATTTGTTTATTTGGCTTATCTATACTGGTGATGAATGAAACATTAGAAGTCACACAACTTGATTAGTCTGATAAAAGAATAAACATCGAATTCATATGGGTTGATATTTTCATATTTTATCTTCGTAGTGATTTTATAGAGCATTCCCTTTATTAGTGATTTTATCGAGCATTACTGTTATTAGTGCTTTCATGTAAAAAAATAATTTAATGGACACAAGACAAAAAAAGACATGTGTTTATTAGGGTAATATTCTTTCTGAAATTATGTTGTATATATATATATATATATATTTTTAATTGTGATGTATATGAGATTTATGGTCGATCTGAATGGTTCGGGGTAAATATTTATTACCGAAAAATATGTTTTTATTTTATTTGATGATTATAACTGAATTGAAATGATATTGGAAGTTAAAACATGATAACCTTTCTTATAAAAGTATCTAAGATGGTCTCATAAAGTTTCAAATCCTTAAGCTATTTTGTATCCCAACAACCAGCATAAAAAAATCATTCTGAATAAGCTTTTAGGTATCCCGAAAAGCCCAAATTAAAAAATAAAATTACATGCAAGCACTGCATTTCGAACCCGCACTCACGGTACCAACTTCTCGTCGCCCACTTACACCACTGGGCCATTTAATCACTCATCGATAACATTCAATCTTACAAAATGTTATACTTTTTTGTTTCCCTAATAACACACGCGGGGCCCGCAAACTTGCTGACGTGGACACGCTGAGGAGCTTCAAAAGTGTACTATTATTATATTGATTTATATTATAAATTTAATAGTTTTTATTTTTCCAGCAACAATTCAATTGGGAGTCGGGACATAAGGAAAGGGTCCGAGAGGCCTTCAGAGAAAAGGTCATGGTGTCTTAAACGAACACGGTCTATGAATGGAAGGTGCTCTGGCTCAAGGGTAAGAAACCAAAGTTCATCAACGATACCGTTTGGCAAGACTTGCAGGCGCATTGGGAGAGGGATGAGACCAAAGTGAAATCTAGCAGAAACTCACGCAACCGCAACAGCGACCGTGGCGGGAAAGGTCGTTATGTACACAACCTCTGGGCTTGCAGCATGTCGACTATAGAGGATCAGCTTGTAAGTTTACATATTTTTAAGAATAATTTTTATATATTTATTGATTAATATTCTTTGTAGGTCGAAGCAAATGGCGGTAATCCCGTCGATATTTTCAATGTCGTTAAGGTGGCATACACGAACAAGAAGATGGGTGAAATTCAGGATCCCGTAATCATAGAGGTAATGGAGATGGTGCAAACAAAAAAAGAAGCATTTCTAGCTTCTCAGCTTATCTCTGAGGACGATTCCGATGCAGCAGCTTCAACTGACTTTTCCCGATGCCGAATTAACGAAATGGTGGAACATGTATTTTAAAAACTTTTCAATTTAATTATTATTATAATTCAGATAATAATAATATTTACCTAATTTTCTTTCTTTTTAATAGGCGGTCCCAAGGAAGAAAGGATGCCTGGTTAGTTTGGCTCGCCGTGCCGCTTCGTGTCCTGCTGCTTCATCTTCACAAGCTCAAAATGTTAATCCGTCGATTATGGAGGAGCTGCAAAACAAGGGTGAGCGCATTGTAGCATTGGAGGAGCAGAACGCTACAATTCTTTCTGAATTGGCGGAACAGAAGAAGCATAATGAAGTTAAAATGGACAAGATGAAGCGCCTTTTCCCGCATGAGTTTAATTTTTTTTTGTTTAAAAACTTAAAAAAAAACAATTTTGACTTATGTAAAACTTTTTTTATAATTATTTGTTTTTTATTTTCAGTTTTTATGAATTTAAAAAAATTAATTTATAAAATATAAATTTCTTACAAAAATAAATATATATTAAATCATTTAAAAATGAAATTACCAACGGCCAAGGCCCGTCAGAATTTTCAGACGGACAAAATTCATCGCTATTTTCCGACCATTAATTCTCGTCGGAAATATCTGACGGTCGGTGTTGTCCGTCGGAATATATTTTGACGACTTACCGACGACTATTCCCAACCAAATACATCGTCGGTTATCTGTCGGAAAAAACCTCTGTCGGTAAGCTTCGGAAACTCGTCGGGCTGTTCTGACGAATTTCCAACGAATTTTGTTTTCCGACGAGTTATTTTCGACGGCCGTTTTCCTCGGAATTTTGTCGGAATAGCTCTATTCTGAAAAACATTCCGACGAAAAAAGCCATCAGAATGCGTCTGTTTTCTTGTAGTGTCCGAAGATATCATTGGGATGAGCCCTACCTTTACAAGCACTGTTCTGATGGGATATACAGACACTGCATATCCGAAGCTAAAATCCCTGATATAATATTCCAATGTCACGGATCTGACTATGCTAGACATTTTTCCACCTTCAAAATGGTTTCAAAAATCCTCCAAGAAGGATTTTGGTGGCCGACGATGTTTCGCGATGTCGACAAGCATATAATATAATGCGACAGATGCCAAAGGCGAGGAAAAATCAGCAAACGGCATTAAATGGAACATAAATTCATTTTAGAAGTAGAAGTATTCGATTGCTGGGGGATAGATTTTATGGGTCCACTCCCATCCTCGTACGGAAACAGATATATATTAGTCGCTGTCGACTATGTGTCTAAGTGGGTTGAAGCTATTGCTTCCCCAACAAATGATGCATCTGTAGTCATTAAGCTTTTCAGGAGTGTTATCTTTCCGCGATTTGGAACCCGCTTCATTAATAAGATATTTGAAAGATTTCTCAAAAACAAACGGTGTCCACCATATAGTTTCTACACCCTACCATCCACAAACGAGTGGGCAGGTCGAAGATTCGAACAGACAGATTAAAAATATCTTTGAAAAGACCATCGGAATCTCTTGGAAAAATTGGCCTCGAAAACTGGATAATGCACTTTGGGCATACCGAACTGCATTCAAAACACCGCTGGGAACAACACCTTTTCATCTACTCTATTGAAAATCATGCCACCTACCCGTTGAATTAGAGCACAAAGCAGCTTGGGCCATAAATTATTAAATTTTGATATCAAGCCTGCTGCTGAGAAAAGACTTATTCAGCTCAATGAACTGGATGAAATCATGCATTTAGCCTACGAGAATTCAAAGCTATACAAGGAAAGGAGAAAAGCCTACCATGATAAGAAAATCATATCTCGATACTTTGAATCGAACGACCAAGTGCTTCTATACAATTCTCGGCTAACCCTGTTTCCCGGAAAACTTCGATCCCGTTCGTCAAGACCTTTTACGATTACGGAAGTTAAACTTTACGGAGCTATAACGCTAATTAATGAAAAAGGAGAGGAATTTACCGTGAACGGCCAACGAGTGAAGCATAAGCATTATTGGGGTCAAACGCCCAATAAAAGCACGCTACGGCATGATCCCATAACTACAGAATCATAAATTCCGTTTGTCAAGCTAAAGACTGAAAATAAGCGTTTAGTGATGATAAAAAAATACTAAATTAATAAATATAATAAAACTAAACACTAAAATATATTTTAGTGATGATAAAAATATAGATAAGTTTGGGTGTACGGTTTTAACATCGATCACGACAAGATTATTGTATCGATCGATGCGGAAACCCCAAGGTCGACTCTCATTTAACTCGACATCCCCTGTTTCATCCATATGTCTAAAATCCTAACGAAATTAAAAACCTCTCAACTCTCTCTCGGTTTTTGAAAAAATCCTTTCGTTTTTACCTTAATCAATTTGTTTTCTGATTCTATGTTCATATGTCTCACTCTTTTCACAGATCTACAAAGGTACACTTTCGAAATTCACTATTTTGTGCTTTCTAGGATAGTGTCTTGGAGATTGGATTAGCATGCTTGATTAGTCACGATTTTGAGATGTTTTAGGTTGTTGGATTGTTAAAATAGGGTTTATGAACAGATTGGTGTGTTAAAATTGTGTTGAAATCGCGATTTTGGTTGAGTGACCATTCTTTCAGGTTTCGTGATGTGACATTGATCGACAAAAAATTAGTCGTGTCGATTGACGGAGTGTTCTTGCCATCGATCGATATAGCACATGTTCCATTGACCAATCCCATGCTCCGGACATCGATCAATAACAAACTTGGTTCACTAACTTCGTTTTCACTTTTTTCTATGTGTTTGCAGACGCAACCATCCAGAGAAAGGAGGAAGAAGCAGCGCCTGGATCGAGCAGGCACATCGAGGAACGTCTCCTCCGACCCTCCATCGCCGAAGGTGATGAGTTACCACCGTGGCCTTGTGACGATAAGACTCCAGTCGTCACGTTTGTGACATTCGTTGATCCTGCCACTGCGATCAAGAGCGACAAGTGCATCCACCGCTCGATCTCCGACACTTGGGATGACTATGACAGCCTGTTCTACAATGTGTGGCTGAGGGTGCACATAGAGCCAACTCAATTCATCGACCCAGCTATTTTTCGGAGACTCGGTATCGAGCCAGGCATTGATCGTGAACCTAGACTTTGGCACCATGGCCACACGTCCATACGACCTCCACCCCGAACTCTTCCGCCAGTTCATGGCCACCGTCCAGCTCACCTACACAAACCCAAGATCTAAGGTTGCAATTGACGACATCCTGTCCTTCTTTGCATGGGGCAAGCGGTACCATATTACTATCCCTGAGCTTTGTGATATCTACGGTTTCGAGGACTCTTCCGCTACTTGCAGCACTGAGCCTTCTTTTCCTAGGATGAGAGAGTTCTGCGAACTCATCAGTACGGCCGATCTGCGCTCTGGCAAGGCCACCATGACGGACATTTGCCACCCCACGCTACGCTAATTCTTGCGGGCCATTTCCAACACTTTGTTGTGCAAGATGGACCCCAACAAGGTAAGGTTGTAGGATCTCACACTCCTTTTATGTGCTTTGGATGGTTTGGTTGATTTGCACAGCCATGATGGGAAAGGGACAGTCGTTACACCAAACTCGGGGCTATTTTTCATGAGCATCTGGTGGGGTTGAAGATGAAACCCTTCACTGGTACAAAGTCCAAGACGGAGACGGTTGGACGCATCTGATGTCGATCGCTCTCGAGCCTTCCTGGATGTAGAGCATTTGTCGAGCTCGAGTTGGCTTAAGGAGGAACACATCTGGTGTTTAGGGATGGATGACCACATTCGCTTGCTACCACTGCCCAACAAGAAGATCACTGACTTTATCACATGCGACAATGAGTGTCTCTGGTTTCAGCCAGACGAACGCCTGTTGCGTGACCCTGCAGAGGCACCCCGCCGACCTCCCGATGTCCCCGCGGAGTTCCAGCAGTGCAGGATCCCCCACTTCCCGATTTCCCGATCATTCGAGACTTCCCGATGCAGCATGGATACTTTCAGCGCATCGTTGTTGATGCACCCCGAGCCATCTGGGCTAGAGTGACGAGATCTCCCTGCAGGATCCGAGGGAGTGTTAGAGCGAGTTCGCCATCAGCTGCAGGTCCCTCTCGCCAGCACCGCGACGCACATCCCAGAGACGACGATGAGACCGATGACGACTCCGACTAGTTCTCACATTTCTATACCTTTTTATCATGGACTATTTTTATTTTATTTTTCTTGCAAGCTTTCGGATTATTAGGATTTATAACTTAGACTTATTACATTTTATGTTTTCAGACTGTTGTCTTATCTCTCATTTGTGTTTGGAATCTCTAACAGAGCTAATAGAACTGACAGATCAGATGACTTTGACCCTTTCCAACCAGATGGTGTGATTCTGCCCCTTCCGTATTGATCCATACTACATCACTTTGATTTATCAATGTTTTTCCCAGTTCGGCGATCGACAATACTACTGTCGATCGATCGATTCCGCATTCAGGGAGGTCAGAAACACAAACTTTTCTTTATCTAAACTTTTACTTATTTCTCCACCACTCTTATACTTGTTACACTAGGACAGTGTAATTTAAGTCTGGGGGAGGTAGTTATTAACATTTTGTTTCTTTGAATTTTATCAAAAACATTTAAAATAAAAATTAAAAAAAAATAAAAAAAAGTTTTCATTTATTTGAGTAAGGGATTATGATCATTTTAAAAGTTCTTTCTTATGATCTAACCACACATCAGCACCATTCTTAGACTTGTTGACAACAGATTGTACTAGAGATACTATAGTGGATTACCTGGCCATTAGATCATACTTTCTTAGAAAGTTTGAAGGAACTGAAGCTAACCTCCAACCCTAATATGATTGATCTGCTTGCTTTGGGGCTTGGTATACATTGGATTGGACTCCTCCTTCAGGCCTGAAAGGTATGATTCTGTAAATTTTTGGTTTCTTTCTCTCCTCTCTCCAGCATCTAAAAAAAAAAGAGAAAAGATTGAGATGATTTCCTGAGATGCAGAGGGGTAGGTACATTACGATGACCCCATTATTTGCCTACACTTAGTCCAGATAAAAATCAATAAGGTGAACAAGATGGAAGGCATTAGTACATGTCTTAATTCACTGGAATTGAATTGGAAAAGATTTGGAGAAAGAGAGATATAAGGAGAAAAGAAACCAGAATATGATTACCTGTTTACTCATACACCTGATGGAGTAAGAGTCCAAGCATCCTATGACTGATATTCCCAAGGTAAAGCCTGCATTTTATTCTTCTGTAAGAAATGAGGTTAGTAGAGGGGTGACTCAAGCTAGTATTTGCTAAGTTACTGGTAGAATGATTTGGTTGATAAACTAGGATATTGTATATAAAGTATCTTTGGGGTTGACACATGTTCGATGTAGTTGTAGCATTGTAGTGGTGATGATTCTAAGTCTGAGAATTTTGTGAATCCCTGCTATTT